GAAGGGGCCCGCGAGGCCCTCCCCGCAAGGCCCCGGAGGGTTCTCGGATGTGATGTGTCCTGACCCTGGGGTCTGCGGGCCGGAGGCGCCGTGGGTTGGGGCGCGTGGGGACGGACTCCGGTGGGCAGACGGGGAGCCCCTGGCCCTGCCCAGCGGGCATCGGGGTGAGGACTCGGAGGAAGGCCCCCACCCGTCCCTCACTGTCAGCCCCGGGGCGCCCCGGCCGGCCTGGATGGGTTCACCCCCCGGCACCATCTTGGGGGTCTGAGGGGCGGAGGCCTGGTCAGCTGGGGCGGGACTCGGGTCAGAAGAAGGAGTGTCCCCGCTCCGCCGGGTGTTAAGGTGGGGACCCTCATGGCGGGCTGAGGGGGCCTCACGGTCCAGCCAGCGGGGCCCACAGACGCCCAGCCTTGTGTCAGCCCTGAGACAACCTGAGAAGGGCTGTGGAGCACAGGCGCCCCTCTTTAGCTCCCTGACTTCTTTTTCTGGCATCTCAGGGAGATGGTGGCCTTGGTTGACGGAGCATCCTCATGTCAAAAAAAGGGAGGAGATGCAGGCCCTGTCAGGAATTAATAGGAATACATTGAGAATGGGTGAGGGGACCTTCTACAGACAGAGGAGCCCCACAAAACCCCCTACTCTGCCCCTACTGTCAACCACGGGAGGACTCAGGCAGTGACGAGGTGCTCCCTCACCCCTCCAGGAAGCGGTGGGGCTTGTCTCATGGAAGTGAGGCCTTTGTCTGAGGGAGCAATATGAGTACCTTGAGGGAGGGCAGAAGATATCCTCTGCCACAGAATGGATGGGATTCAGCCCCTGCTGTCAGCCCTAGGAGATCCTGGGAAGGGGTGGCAAATTGTGACTTCTCTTTTGTTTTATCTGGACGTTCTCAGGGGAGTGAGGACCTAGGTCTGAAGGGACAAGGACAGCTCTGCAGAGGGAGCTTTATCTGGGGCCAGATAAAGGTTGAGGGTACCCTCTGCACCGGCACAGATGGGGCCCGGCAGTTCTCTGTCCTTGCTGTCAACATGTGAGAACCAAGGATGGTCACTAGATGTGGGCTCCCACTCACTTTTTTCGGGGGGGGGGGTCTCAGGGAGGTGAGGACCTTGGTCTGATGGATGTCCAGCAGAGAGAGAGCACCACATGCTGCCAAGTGTCAAGATAAGGACCCTGAGGGAGGATTTAGAGGACCTCTCACCCTGCAGAGAGTGGTCTCACAGAAACTTGCCCCTCCTGTCTGCCCTGGGAGGTCACATAGCCGGGTTGCCAATGTGCTGTTTACTGACTTGCATTCTGGGAGTCTCAGGGAGGTGAGGCTTTTTCTGAGGTGTGGACCTCAGGTTAAAGAGAAGTCTCTGTGGGAAGATTGAGATGACCTTCCTTCCCAGGTAGATTTGGCCTCTACCTACCCTTAAAATACCCATCTTAGAGAGAGGGGGCTCCAACCCATCTGTGCCCTTCTTGTCAGCCCCAGGAGACCACAGGCAAGATTGACCAGATGTGGCATTTCCTTACTTTTGTGTGTGGGAGGCTCTCAGAGAGGTGAGGGCACTGGTCTGAGGGGGAGCCAAATCAGTTCAGAAGGGGGAGGAGTCCCAGGCCCTGGCAAGAGTCTGGTAAGGGCCATTGGTGAGGCCTGAAGGCCCCCCTCCCTGAAGAGAAGGATGCCACAGAATCTCAGCCCTGGGAGGATCTGAGTAGGTGACCAGAGGAGAGGACTGTCACTTTTGCCACAGGCTCTACCAGAAGTCAAGGGGTTGGAGCCTCTCAGGGAGTTGAGGTCTGGGTTGGAGCAGGAAACTTCAGGTCAGCAAAGGGTAGGACAGGCCCTGTAAGGAATACAGATAAATACCTTGAGGGAGGATTGAGTGTATTCCCCATGCCAGAACAGACCCCAGGCAGGGGTGGCTGGATTTGATATCTTTTTACTTTGTCTGGAGTGTCCCAGGGAGGTAAAGGCTTTGGTCTGAGCTGATGACATCAGCAAAGGGGGAAGTCCCAGAATCTGTGAGGGGTCAAGGTAAGGTAAGGGCCTTGAAGGAGGACTAAGGTTACACTTCAACCCAGACAGAAGGACTCTCACAGAAATTCCATCCTGTCTCCACTGTCCACCCTGGGAGAATCTGGGCAGGAATGCCCAGATGTGGTGTATTCTCACTTCCTGCGAGAGGTGAGTGGAGGAGTCCCTGGGAGATAAAGCCTTGGTCTAAGGAGGATGGTCTCAGGTCTCCAGATAAGGTGGGCCGAGGCCCTGCCAGGAGTAAAGAATACATTGAGGGAAGACAGAGGGAACCACCCCCATCCCAGAACAGAAGGGGTCTAGCCCCTGATGTCAGCCATGGAAGACCCTAGGCAGGGGTGGCTGAATGTGATCTCTTCACTTTTGTCTTGAGGAACTCAGGAAGGTGGAGGCGTTGGTCTGAGTGAGAAGACAGGTCAACTGAGGGAGCCACATCAGGTCAGAAGAGGGAAGAGTCCTAAGCTCCACCAGAGTCAAGGTAAGGACCCTTGGTGAGAACTAAAGGTACTTCCAACCCTAGAAAGAAGAGACTCCACAGAGTCTGGCCATCTCCTGTCCTCAGCCTTGGAAGGACCAGGCCAGGTTGGCTGTATATAGTATGCCCTCACTTTCTGCAAGAGTGAGGGAGGTGTCAGAGAGGTGAGGTCATGGTCTGAGGGAGTGATGTCCAGTCAGCAGAGGGTGGCCTCGGCCCTGTCAGGAGCAAAGATGGATGCCGTGAGGGAGGACTGAGGATAGCCCCATCACAGAACACGTGGGCTCAGCTCTTTCTGTTAGCACTGGAAGGACCTAGCAGGGCTGGCAAGATGTGGTGCCTCATTTTTGTCCATGGTTCTCAGGGAGGTGAGGGCCTTGTTCTGAGCAGTCTGAGGGGAAGCAGAGGGAAGAGTCCTAGACTATGCCAAAGTTTCAAGTAAGGACCTTGAGTGAGGACTGAGGGCACACCCAGCCCTGCCCTTCCCTGATGTCAGCTCTCGGAGGCCCTGGGCACAGCGGCCAAGTATGGTGTACCCTCACTTCCTTCATGGTGGTCTCAGGGAGGTGAGGGCTTGTTCTGAAGAGGCCAGACTCAGGGCAGCAGAGGGAGGAGTCTCAGAACCTACCAGGCGTTAATGTGAGGAATGAGGGTAACCCTCAGCTAGGAGAGAGTGGGAACCCACAGACTTCATTCAGCCCTTGCTGTCACTCCCAGAGGCCCTGGGCAGGAAGCGCCTTCACTTCCTTCCCATCTGTCTCAGGAATGTGAGATCTGGTCTTAGGCTAGCAGAGGCAGGGGAGGAGGGGGCACAGGCCTTGTTAGAGGAAAGGTGAGAGCCCTAGCATGGAGGGAATCATCCACTCCACAACAGTGGGGACCTCACAGAACCCGGTCCTGCTCACCTACCAGGGGCTCCGGGATCCGCGAGGTGAGGGCCTTGGTCTGAGGCATGTGTCCTCAGGTCAGTAGAGCAGAGGAAGCCCAGGCAGTGCTAGGAGTCAAGGTGAGGTGCACACCCTGAATGTCTACCGAGGACCCCACCCACCCCAGAACAGAGAATCCACAGTGACTGATCCTGCCCGCCCACAGTTAGCCCTGGAAGCCTTGGGCTGTGCTGGTTGGCCGCGCCCCAGGGAGCTTTCTCACATCCTCCTACAGGTTCCTAGGGGACAAACTGTCCCGGGAGACAGGAGCCCCGTGAGGCCCTAGAGCATCCCCCAAAGAGGAGACCTGTAAGGCAGCCTTTGTCAGAGATGCTAAGGGTGCATTTCTCTGCTGAGGCCGCTGACCCTCTCCCTTTGTCCCCCAGGCCCGTGGGATCCCATCTCCCACTATCCTGCTCACATTTCTACCTCATGCCTCCGAAAAGAGTCATCATGTTTCACTCTTCAAAGTGTCCACGCCTTACTCCTGAGCCAGGCTTTCAGATCCTAAGTGGGATACGGGTCCCCACAGCTGAAGAGGAGGAGGAGGAAGAGACTGCCTCCGTTTCCTCTTGTTCTTTCACCTTCTCCTACCCCTCTACCTCCCCCATTTCCTCTCCTATGATCCCGGGCACCCCAGAGAAGGAGCTGGAGGCGCAGCAGGAGGAAGAACAGAAACAGCTGGAGCAGATGGAGCAGGAGCAGCAGGAGCAGCAAGAGGAGCAGATGGAGCAGGAGCAGCAGGAGCAGCAAGAGGAGCAGGACAGGAGCAGCAGGAGGAGCAGGAGCTTGCTGCTGTGACACTGGGTCCTCCCCGGTGTCCTCAGAGCTCCTTCTCCTCATCATGGAGCACATCAGATGGAAGCTCCAGCAGCCAAGAAGAAGATGACACACACTCTCTCCAGGCCCCAGCAGACACCAGAAACCTGCTAAATGAGAAGGTGGCTGATCTGGTGAATTTCATGATCCTCAAGTATCGACTGAAGGAGCCCATCACAAAGGCAGAAATGCTAAAGGTTGTCATCAAAAGGTACAAGAAACAATTCCCTGTGATCTTCAAGAAAGCTTGTAAGTGCCTAGAGGTGATCTCTGGCATTGATGTGAAGGAAGTAGACCCCCAAATCCACTCATATGTCCTTGTCAACTCACTAGACCTCACCCATGTTGAGACACTTAGTGATAACCAGAGCATGCCTAAAAATGGCCTGCTGATAATCATCCTGGGTCTGATCTTCATAGAGGGCAACTGCACCCCTGAGGAAAATATCTGGGATTTCCTGAGTATGATAGGAGTGTATGCTGGGAGGGAGCACTTCATTTATGGGGAGCCCAGGAAGCTCCTCACCAGAGATTGGGTGGAGCAGAATTATCTGGTGTACCAGAAGGTGCCTAATAGTGATCCTCCACGATACGAATTCCTGTGGGGTCCAAGGGCCCATGCTGAAACTAGCAAGATGAAAGTTCTGGAATTTTTGGCAAAGATCAAAGGGACTGACCCCATTACCTTCTCAAGCTGGTGTGAGAAGGCTTTAAGAGATGAGAAAGAGAGTCAGGGCCAGGGTAAGCCCAGTGTGTAGTACTACTGCCGTGTTCACTGTGCAGCATTGCTCAGCAGCTGCTCTTGCTCTAACTGAAAAATGAACCCGAATATTCACCCTGCGTTTGGAGAGGGCAGTCAGCGTTCTAAGTAGAGGAAAGCCAGGGTCAGGCTGAGGAGAATATACTGTGTAACAACTTTGTGTCCCTGTTCCTGTATGCATTGCTTGAAAGTTTATCTTCTTTTTTCTTTTTGGTATTTTTCAAATACTCTTTCTTTGAATAAGTTTACTAGCTTTGGAATCTGTTTTTGAATGACATTGGTCACACATTTATTGCTGTTTATCAGTTTTGAGAACAGGAGTTTTGATATTTTACAAATCAACTTGGGGAACTTTCCATCTTATTTTGTGATCTGGAACAAGATAACATGACATTGGAATATGAATGTCCTTGGAAGTGTGAAAGAACTCCCCAGACAATAGAGAAAAATGTAAAACTATAAAAGGTGGTTCATTTTTGAATTCCCATTACCACTTTAGTCTATTGTTCTGTAAAATTAAAATATATATACCTGGATTTGCTTGGCTTATTCAAGAAAGTAGAAGTAACCTTAATAAATGTTAATAAATGAAAGACTGCTCACTGACTCATTTACTCATCACACATTAATTGGATATTTTCTCTTTGGTAAGCACTGTGTTAATAGTGGAAATTCTAGGATAAGCAGAACACACCCCTGCTAGAAGTTAGGAGCAGCAGTAATATCAGGAAGATGGTGAGCTACCCTCCATTACCTAAAGAAAAAGTGAAAAAAAGGAGTAAGGAGGTGAGACTCTAGACAGGAGCCATCGAATAGAAATGTCCTGTGTTAAGGGAGTTTGGGGCTTTGGGAAACTGCATTCCTTTTATGGGAGTTAATTATAAGTTAAGCTGTGGGTGGTGGTAGGGGCCAGATTCTCAGACTGTGTATTTTAGGGATGAGAGAAAAGCCTGGAATGGAAAATTGCTTAGTAGTTTAACTTTGGATCATGGACAAAACCAGAGGGAGATCTCCACCTGGGGCAGATATGGAAGGTGCCCTGAACTCTTGTCCCAGTGCAGTTAACACAGTGAATGAAGGTTTTCTATACATGTCATCTGCAGTGATTTCTTGAGAATTGGGTGATACTCTCTTGAGGTGGTACCCAGAAGCCACTAGGCTAGCACCCCTCTCCCTGGGCTGAGAGAGCCAGAGCCCACCCTGTTAAAATCACATTAAAGGTAGGTTATCTTGAGTGTAGTTAGGCCAAACCTAAGCAAAGTCTAGGATTTGGTGGCAGTGAAATGAATGAAAATAGTATTTTGGGTGAATGAGCAGCTGGGAGGGAAGGAAGGAGTTAGTCTTTAAATTCTAGGAGCTTTGAGTTATATCAGCTGGAGAAGACTAACCCATAACCCAAATTAATATATCCTTAAGAGGAAAAATTTAATGAGTTTCGTGAAGCTGCATTTTTGCCTGATTTGATATGCTACTTCCTATTGAGCTGCTTGTTATTTGAGATGCCCTGGATAAAAACAAAATCTCAGAGGAGAGGGCAGTACATTGTGGGGACAAAATAATATTAGAAATAATTGCCAGTCATTAAGTTATAATAAATGCCAGGCACTGTGTCAAATGCTTTTCTTTATGTACATTCCAGCAGTCCTACAAGACGGCTATCAAACCCATTTTACAGAGGATGCATCTAAGGCTTATAGTGCTTGGTAATTTCCCCAAGATTATACTGCTGGTAAGTGACAGGGCTGAGACTAGACCGTGGTCTGAATTCATCTAGGGCCCAGGCTGCTTCCACTCCTAGCCTGAGGCAGGTCTTCTGTCTTTCATTCCAGTTCTCTTTTCAGTGCTTTATAATATCTTAGGTGACAAAAAGAAGGACCATGTGACAAGGTACTAAAAGCAGGCCCAGAGAAGGAAGAGGAAATGAGAGTAGAACATAATTTGGGGATTGTCTGAGCTTTATTTATCTGGGGTTCTCCCGCTTAGAGCCCTATGATACCTTAATAGCTAACTCTGCCCAGGTACTGGCATTTGTGTTCAGTGTTAGCAATATCCTGAATTGCAGCACCTTCCCCCTCTCTTCCCCAGTGTGCCCTCGTGTCCAACCGTGGCCTACTGGCCCGCTCCTCACTATCTCATCCTCTGAAGGCTGTGCCTTGCTCCCAGTGGACAACCCAGAACCACTTGCCTTCCCCTGACATAGAACATTCCCACTCCCTGTAAAAGCCCCCTGGCTGTTGCATCTGTCACTCTGGAATCCTGATAGTAACAGCCCCTTTGATTTAAAGGTTCAATTTGGAAAGTTCAATTTGGACAGTGTTGTTTAGACTGATCAGTAGTGAGTTGAATGGTGACCCCCCAAAAGATATATTTAAGTCTTCATTTCCAGTATCTGTATGTGATCTTATTTGGAAATTGTCTTTGCAGATGTAATTATGTTAGGAATCTTTAAATGAGATTATCTTGGATTTAGGCTGGGCCCTAAATACGGTGAATGATGCACATATAAGAAAAAGGAGAGGGAGATTTCACATACATAGAATCACAAAGAAAGGGATATGAAGAATGGAGGCAGAGATTGGAGTGATGTATTTATGAGGCAAGAAATGCCAAAGACTGCTGAAGATCATCAGAAGGTAAGAGAAAACCATGGGAAGGCGTTCTCCTTCAAGGTCTCTAGCCAGGCCTAGGAAGCTAATACATTGTATTTCACAAACTCTCAAAGTGTTTTCCAAATAGGCTTGTTAGCAGAGTCTGATTTGGCACATCATCTACTGGCTATTGGGATATAGCTCTGCAGTTAGATACATTATTTCTAAAAAGCATCCTAGTATTTGCAGTAGGATTTTAATGGGATGTCTTGTTTGAAATTGGCCACTGAACACATATACAGATGAATGTGCTTACCCATGTGGTTAAAAACCAAAGCCTTTCTCATAAATGGTAGATAAGGAAAGACCATGGAAATCTGTGTAATCAGACATCTGAGGCTAAAGTCTTAAAAAAAAACTTTGTAATCTTTCTAGGAGGTGAAAATGGTTCCTTAGCAGCTAACTGTGATTAAAAGAAAAACCAATAATTGTTATGGACTGCATGTTTGTGTCCCATCTCCAAATTCATAACCCATAATGGGGTAGGATCAGGAAGTGGAGCCATTGGAAGGTAATTCGTTTTAATTTGGTTTTGATGAGATTAGTGTCTTTATAAAGAAGAGAAATAAGCTAGAGATCTCCCTTGGCCACATGACAATAAAGATGATGGTTGTCTGCAAGCTGGGAAGAAGGTCCTCCCCAGACACCAAACCTGCCAGCACCCTGGCCTTGTACTTTATAAACCCCAGAAAAGAAATAAATTTCTGTTGTTTAAACCGCTCGATCTATAGTATCTTGTTATGGCAGTTTGAGCTGACTAAAACAACCATCCTTTCACTGCCCCTTGTCTGTGTACTTGCCCCAGAGGAAAATACAGGTTTGCAGTGTGCCAAAAGGCACCTGTACAGGAGTTCAGGAATGTTCAGTCATGTAGAAGGTAGCAGAAGCTCATAAATTAAGATTTTGAGCATATATCACAAGGAAGGAGAAAATTCTCAGTCTGCTGAGATTATAAAAATTATAGAGAAGAGCAGTGTAAAAAGTGCTATTGAGTGAAGAAGGGTGAGATTTCACTGCTAAGATTTATAGAATCCCTTGACAACTAGATATGGTTCTATATTTGAAAGCACCTGTCACATAGTAGGTTTCTGAAAAGCCAGTGAATTTCAAGGTACATTTGGTCTTCTCAGAAAATCCTTTCAAGAAATGAAGAGAGTTGTCATAAATTATAGCACTGCTTTTTAATGAACACCTACTAAGTGACAGCGTGTGGGAGAGACTGTGTAATGGCTTCTGGGAGAGACTAAAGTGCTTATCCACTTCTTGACTTCCTCACCTTCCTGGGTGGCCCATCTATAGTTCAGCAGGAGCTAGTATGCCATTTCCATGCTGCTTCTGCCATTCAGCAGCAAACATGGAGACCCCATGTTGGGATAGCGGCGCTGTAAGATGGAAGCATCCTGGATCCTTGAGTCACCTGAAAGCAGAAAGTCTCTGGCAACCCAAATCAGAATTTATGTGAACAACTGAAATTTCGTTGTGTTAAGCCACTCATATTTCAGGTTTTGTCTATTACATCAGCTAGCAGTTACTTTAACAGATTAACATACAGCTCCTATTTCTGGTTTTAGGCTTACTTAAGTATTGTACTTAAAAAGGAAGTAGCCCATATATTCTTGTAAAAATTTCTAAAAATAAAAATCAATCACAATTTTCCCCTTTACAAAGTTTTTCCAAAATTCAGACCCTTTCTCAGAGGTAATCACAACAATCTGGTGTGTACTATTTTAAAAGTTGTTCTAGGCGTTCCCATAAATATATGTGTTAAAATATATACTGTTTTTCTTTTAACATACTTGGTAATTAGATATATATTAACTTTCCACTTACCTTTGCCACTTCATAAAGTGAATGCAAAATCTTTTCATGACAGCACCTACTCCCTAGAATTCTAAAGTATCTATGTGCCGTAATTAATTAAACACTTCCCTTCCTGATGGACATGTAAGTTGTTTCCCATTGGTTGCTATGATTAATAGAACTGAAATCAACATCTCTGAACATGAATTTTTGGGAAAATATATATGTTTTCTAACAAGAATGACATAACATAGAAGTTGGGTTAGTATGTAAAGAGCATGAATATTTAAAATTTTTATAAATACTGCAAAATTGTATTCCAATATATTTTCTCACAAATCACTGTATGTAAATACCCTACACTCTCATGAACATATTAGTTTACCAATATTTTAAATTTTGGTTAAAATTACAAGTGAAAAAATATTGTGTCAATGCTATTTTAATTTGTGTCTCTCTCATTTTCTCATTAGGTTAAGCAGAAAATTAACTTAATCTCT